GAGAGAGAGAGAGAGAGAGAGAGAGAGAGAGAGAGAGAGAGAGAGAGAGAGAGAGAAGGGGGGTTGCCACCTTACCTGTGGTTGTCCCCTCTAAACTTCCAACGACAGGATGAGCATAATCGAATGAACACCAGAACGTGGAAATATACACTACCACACTTTGTCCCCTCCCCCCCTTTTGTAGTTGCCTCAAGCGCCGTTGCTGGAGCAACAGGCGCCAACTCAGAGGCTGAAACTGAACAGCCTCGTGGGGGCAAAGGCAGGACAACAGCCTCTTCAGGCTGTGTGGTAGCAAGACCAGCTCCCCACCCAGAAAGCCACGAATATTCGTGGCCGCGAGATCAAGGATCTCGCAGCTCATGACGTACGCGTTGGAATGGGGTTGTGAGAGCTGGTTGGAGAAAGGAAGGGAGGAGGGAAACGGGAGACTGGGAGAGGGAGGACCTACCTCTCCCAACCTGACAATTGTCCTCCCCGTTTTCAGGGGAGGGCAGAGGTGGAAGGGAAAAAGAAAAAGGTCACGGCCACGAATGTCGCCGCGGCTATGATCAGATACAGGCCAAACTGACCTGAATGCGACTCAGGCCAGAGGAAGGGGCGATGAAGAGGTGGTGAGGGGAACTTGGCTGGAAACATCCATTTTCCCGCTGAACCTGCACTCAGTGTGGGGCTGAGTGCAGGGAAAAGGGAGAAAAAAGAAGGGGGCAGTTGAGTAAAACTGCCAACCTAGGTGTGTGGCTGAGGTGAGACAACCTCAGTCCGTTAATCTGGCTCAAATCAACGGCCCCAGGCAAGTGACGAATTTTGCCTGGGGGCAGCTGAGGCTGCTGCTGCCGTCCTCAACCACCACAAAAGAGGCAGCTGTCCCCCAGCTGCCTCACACTTGCCTCCAGCTGCCAGTGTGTGACAGCACACTTGCCTCATTGCTGGAGTGCTGGCGAGGAGGCAGGAGTGCTGCCGGCGGAGCTGGAGGACTCCAAAGGAGCGCCGGACAAGGAGGAGGGCAGCCATAGCCAAGGCAGGGAGCACTCTGCTCCCCTCCCCTCTGGCTGGTGCTGGTCCCACGAGACGGACCCAAGGACGCGGCAGTGCGGCAAAGTGAAATTTGGGCCTGGGGCCCAAATTTTACTAATTTTGGCCTGCCATTTTTCCACTACGGTGGGAAAGTGCTGCCAAAATTTTACAGCGGAGGGGCGGTGGCGCCGCAGGTTCTACGGCAGTGGTACGGAAGTGCTGCCAAACTTTTGCGGCGGCGACACGGGTTTTACGGTGGTGGTACGGAAGGGCTGCCGAAATTCTGCGGCGACGACGCGGGTTTTGCGGTGGTGGTACGGAACTGCTGCCGAAATTTTGCAGCGGCGACTCGGGTTTTACGGGGGTGGTAAGGAAGTGCTGTCTAATTTCTGTGGCGGCGACGCAGGTTTTTACGGCGGTGGTACGGAAGTGCTGCCGAATTCCAAGGACGTCGACACGGTTTTTACGGCGGTGGTGAAAGCACTGTCGGATTTCTGTGGCGGTGGCACTAAGTTTGATGGTGGTGGTGAGGAAGCGCTGTCGGATTTCAGTGGCGGCGGCACTAAGTTTGACGGTGGTGGTGCGGAAGGGCTGTTGGATTTCTGCGGCGGCGGCACTAAGTTTGACGGTGGTGGTGCGGAAGCGCTGTCGGATTTCTGCGGCGGCGGCACTAAGTTTGACGGTGGTGATGCGGAAGCGCTATTGAATTTCTGCGGCGGCGGCACTAAAATTGACGGCGGTGGTGCGGAAGCCCTACCGAATTTCTGCGACGTCGACGCGGGTTTTACGACAGTGGTGCGGAAGCGCTGTTGGATTTCTGCGGCGGCGGCACTAAGTTTAACGGTGGTGGTGCGGAAGCGCTGTCGGATTTCTGTGGCGGCGGCACTAAGTTTGACGTTGGTGGTGCAGAAGCGCTATCGGATTTCTGTTGCAGCGGCACTAAGTTTGACGGTGGTGGTGCGAAAGCGCTCTCGGATTTCTGCGGCAGCGACACTAAGTTTCACGGTGGTGGTGCGGAAGCGCTGTCGAATTTTTGCGGCGGCGGCACTAAGTTTGACGGTGGTGGTGCGGAAGCACTGTCGAATTTTTGTGGCAGCGACACTAAGTTTGACGGTGGTGGTGTGGAAGCGCTGTTGAATTTCTGCGGCGGCGGCACTAAGTTTGGCGGCGGTGGTGCGGGAGCGCTGCCGAATTTTTGCGGCGGCGACACTAAGTTTGACGGTGGTGGTGCGGAAGCGCTGTCAAATTTCTGCGGCAGCGGCACTAAGTTTGACGGCGGTGGTGCAGGAGTGCTGCCGAATTTTTGCGGCAGCGGCATTGAGTTTGACGGCAGTAGTGCTGAAGCGCTGCCGAAATTTTTCACAACAACGACACAAGATCTACAGGGGTGTCGGCAGTATTTTTTTTGTGTTGAGCAATAACTGGGCATTGGCGCAGTGAAGGAGTCACTAGAATGATGTATTTTGAGGTAGTGTGGACTTGACGGCGCAGTAACGTGGTGACAACGAAAGCAATTGGCAGCGACGTTTACTAAAAAATAAGTGACGGGGTGCTGTGGAAGGTGGTCGCAGCAAGAGAGTGGTGTAGATCACTTTGATGACGACTGGGGACAACTATCTTCACGTCAAAAGGGGCGTAATTCTATACGGCCTTCTTGAGTGTGCCGTACAACTTCACTCAAGGTAAGTGGTTAGTCAGTTGACCGACTAAGATCCCTTCGCACACCTGTCTGCACCCACACGTTGCTTGGCCCTGTTTGTTCTGACTGTTACAGAGAAAAGGTTGAGTAAAGCGTGTGTGGTCATGCTTGTGAAAGAGTGGGATCTGACGGGAGGCTGAATTGCTGGATTTTCTGGACCTGTGGCTGTTTTTGAGTGTGCAGGTAGGTAGAAGAATGCTTACAAAGGAGGTTGATAGTGTCTACATGGGCTGGTGCAAAAGATTATTTTTTTTCTACCTTTTGCGTGACTGTTAAAAAAACTTGTTGTTTTGAAAAAAAATATTCAGCGTGTGTCGTAGAATGAATACGATTGAAATAAAGTAGATGAGGTYAAATGGACTTAGTCTTTTCCCATGATTGATCCTTTTTATCCCGAACGACCTTATCTACCTTCACCTGTCCAAATGATTCTTATTCTCCATCAACGCTGACTCTTTTTCGTCTAAATTACCTTAGGCAGGGGAGGATGAGAACAATTGAAAATTTACTTGCGGTGGACAATTTTCTTTCAAGGAAGCATCTGGGGTGAGGGTTCGTTGCTTTAGGAGCCGACCCTGCTATCGACCCAGAGTGGACCATTCTACGGGGGGGTACTTTGCCGATTTCGTGGAGACAGCCGGACTTCTGAGATCCGAGTCTTGCGCTCGGGCGAGGAGGATGAGTACCCCAGACCACTTCATAGAGGGAGAGGATACAACATCTCAAGCAATGCCCCTGATCAAGAATCATCCGCAAAACAGCCCATCATCCAAGAAGATTGAGAAAAGTATGGAGACGGGTGTGTGCGTGTTCAATCTTAGGTCGGCGGTAGGATGGAATGAATAACTTTGGCAGCGCATCTCATCAAGTCAAAACTAAGATAGACCGACTACCTTGTCGGTTGCATATATGTTATTGTCTTAAGTCAACTCCTTGTTGGCAGCTGTATGGTTTTTGTGGAGTTCGACCCAGGGCGGTCGAGTGTTATTTTGATCTTGTATTATAGGATGTATCTAATGATGATTTATATTTGTTCGATTATCATTTCAGATTGAATATATGTTTATGTCGACTACGGTCGATTCTATTTTATGTAACTATGTGTGGTTGTTATGTCTTTCTTTTAAAGTGGTGACCAAAGGAACTAGGATATTGGGGTTTCACACTTGGTTGAGATGGTCGTAGTCAACCGGCGTACGCTTCGTTTCTTAGGAGATTGGCGCCCTGAGGAACGAACGACGTCCGGGTTCAATAGGCATTTTAATCACGCTTACCTATACTAAAGTGAGCGAGCAAACACCCTTGGCTGACCCACCTCTACAACTGCATGTAAAAGTTTTCGCACGTGGGTTGGTAGCTCGGTAGGGATACGCCCCTAAGGGTCGTGATAGCCCCTTCGGGAAGCAAGCTTATGCCCCGCGGGAACCTGTCCTATCGTAGGGGACCGCAAGATGTACCGCTGGTGCACCCGACTACAGCGGCGAAGGGACGACGCGACCGTCACCATTTCAGCGGTCCGCGGGATTAATTATGCGTCCTCCCGAAGTTGTCTCTATAGTTTCTATTTAAACTCCTGCGTGACATGGCAGGAGGGTCCTCGCTCGCGCGGGGGCCGATGCGCTCGACAGGTGACACCGTTGCCGTGGATAACGGCAAACTACCGTTGTCCCTGGTGGAACGACACTCAGGTAATGTAATTTTGATCAATAGACATTTAAGTAAATAATTTTGAATGGTTTTATTATTTTCAAATGATACAGGGATTGCACATGTATATATGTGTACATAACTAGTTATGAGTATAATTTTTTTATTGATTTATATAGTCATTTCATTATGTAGATCTTATGAATTTTAAGATGTTGAAATATTAAGACTATGGGTTTTATGAGATTTTGATTTAAAAAGTTAGATTCAATTATTGATAAAAAATTGTGTCTCTTGCAGGCCAAAACGATGACGAAGGGAACGTTCGACTGTATGTGTTCTCTTTTCAAAGGCATCCAGGTCGCTGAGTTCTTACATGCTTTTCAGAACTTGGCATCATTGCTGCTTTGGGAGGAACATCACAAGTTCCTTTCTATCCTGAACTTTGTCATCAAAGGTTAAAATTTGACGTCGGACTTCTATCACGGGCTTCTGGAACTTGGGCTGAATTTGAAAGATTAATGATCGCCAAGTTTACGAAATCACCCAAAGAGGAGAATGATAAAGGAAAAAGGAAGCTAGTGCAATTAGGTGGCGAGAAGCAGTTCGATTAGTTGGAACGACCTTGTGAGCTCGCTAAGGCTGCGAGGGTTGTGCGTAACTTAGCTGAAGGAGGTCAAGGGATTTTTCGAAAAGAGAATTGAGCCAGGTATATTGAATCATTGCAAGATGTCCAGCTAGAGTCTCAAGAAAATATTTTGACCCCTTCGAATGTGAGTTTAGAGACACGAGAGCAAGGTGAATGTTCCAATCAGATGGCTAACATAAAGAAAACCACAGGGCATTACAAACCTCTGAGGTGCACATACTGTGGCGTGTGGGGTCATAGGATGCGATTTTGCAAGCGCCTTGACCGTGATATTGAAAAAGGGATTGTGAATAGACGTGAGGACGGAGTTTGAGTAGATTGGAATAATGTGTCTGTCTTTCCAGCTAAGAAGGAAGACAAATTTATTAGGGATGTGCTTATTGATCGCATGTGGGAGAAATTAAGGAGCTAGACTTGTCTTGGATCCGTTATTTTAACTTTGGGACATTGTTTTTTTTCCTTAAGTCTTGGAGATCTCATGATCTATGCTGATGTTTTTCAGGGATTAGTCAGTTGTTATTACTCGATTAACTTCGGATCATTATTAATCGATTGTTGACTTCATGTGATGTTTTACAGAGTGTTTTTTTTTTCTTCTAAGTTCATTGTGTGGCATGGATGAACTCTCGTTGTGATTGGGAGATGATGAACTAGGAATCCTTATGAAATTCCATGTGAGGGCGTTCGTTGTTAATTGTATTATTGTCAGTTGATTTTTTTGAATATAATGTGTGACCTTGATGTCATGAATGAGATGATTGTATGTCTGTTATCATGTTACGACAATTTTTTGATTGATTTGTGAGCTCTGTAGGTGGTAGTGAGGCCTGTGTGGTTTAAGGAAGGAGGACCACACTATCATTGAAAGGGAGGAAGGTGTTGAGGCCTTGTTAAAACACTGCATATAAGGGTAGGCGACTATTGTTTGCCATGAGGGGAGAAGTGATCACCTAACCTCGTTTCAAACAAAGTCACCTTATCTCTTTAATCGGGGTCTGATCAGCCTCGGTTGTACAAGGTGGGGTTGTCCTACTTTACGTGCAGGGGATTGATAGGGCCGCTACACTGGAATCGGATGGAATGTGGTGAGGCTCGAGTCTAAAGCGGGGCTTAATGTCGAGATGTTATCCCGTAAGTGGATTACACCACTCCTCGACGCATATCACAAGGAGTTCAGAATTAACGGGCATGGTAACTTATGTGGATTGGGATGAGTTTCAAGCTTGGACGGGGAACTTTGGATGAATAGTTTCTCTCTTAGTGGTTCGTTCAGACTTCGTCAGACTTCGTCTGAACAACTTCTAGGAGGTTGATACGCTTGAGAGGCCTGTCAGGGGTTATTCCTGGCTCACTTGAGTTCTACTCAGGTGCAACAAAGCTATCAACCAAATGGATTTCATATTGGATCTAGCCGGAGGGCTTCCAGTACCATTCAGAGAGACTAGAAGTTTTTGAGTGGCTGCCAGTGGGATGATGCTGGGATCATTTTGAAAAAGTTCCTCTAAATTAAAGGCTTCAAGGGGCTAGACCTGAGCCCAAGTTTGGAAAAGACTTGCCAGAGGCAAAATCTGGTATCATTCCTTTCACTTATGAGTTGTATTGAGTTAAGGCTTCTGGAGGCTAAATCCAGTTTTATTGTATGGAATTAAGGCTTCTGAAGGCTAAATCCAGTTTTGTTGTTATATTGTTATATGTTGGTGGAAACGTTTCGGCTTAGTTTCAGACGATCATTCGAATTGTTATGTATTGTGATCGTTGCTGTCACATGGAACTTTCATAGGAATCCTGACCGTTTAAGTAAATGATGAATGACGTGGAAGTCATTCAATGGAGTCTGGGAATGTTCTCGGGACAAATACCCTGACAAGGGTATTTGCCGGGGTTTTTCAACGTCGGACGTTGTCCAAATTTTTCGCTTAAATGAAAGACTTGATGAGACTGATGTTTGTCAAAAGTTTATTTAGACCAACCCTATAACTGAGATACCTAAAACCTGACATCGTTGACGTATGACGTCATTGGCATTCGATTGAAACAGGGGTAGTCAACGGTACGACTTGTCGTTCGCGGTTCCTGATAAGGCCACAAAGGCACGCGGACATGAGACCTATTCTACCTAAAATAATGTCGTGCGGCTTAGCAGCCGCATGATTCAGAACCTATGCGGCTACGAAGGACCGCCGTACAAGGGTAAAACCACGATAGTGGCCGAGAGACCTAGCAGCCCGCTCTGGTATGGGCAGGAGACCGCCGCAGTTGATACTCGCGGTCAACTGATGGGGCAAGGCCGATTAGCAGGGCTTGCAAAGTCTCAAGCAGGTGAGGCCTGCAGAGCCACAGGCAGACAGAGCCTGCAAGGCCACGGCATGGGGAAAAACTAACTGGGCGAGCTCTTCATATAGAAGAGTTGCTCCTATCACTATCGTGATAGGAGCTAGCCCTGTAGGTTACAGCCTACGACTCTTACCCGACGGACACTAGGATTGAATCTGATATGTTGCATCCTATTGGGCATGGCTCCTTTTTTGGAGCAGCCCTAGACTTTGAGCACGGCCGTTTTCGGCCGTGCGATCATTCAGATCGTGCGGCTAGAAACAACCGCGCACATTAGCATAGGCCTTGCGCAGAGGATAACACGTATAAATCGAGAAATTGACTGAATTTTTTTTCGATTCCCTGAAGGGAATCGAACCCCGGTCTGCATAGAAGAAGGGGAAAGGGGGAGGCGCCAGCCTACGTGTCACCCTCGGCCGCGGCCGCAAGATCCTAGTCTGCGGCCGACCTCCTAGGCCGCAGGCCCGCGGCCGAGGCCACTCGGTCGAGTCCGCGCGCGACCGCGCCACGCCCAGGCGGTGGCGCACGCGCTCGGCCTGCGCACGTCGGCCTCTATAGGCCTGCACAAAAAAAAAAAAAATCAAAAATTTGGGGGAGCGATTTTTTATGTGTGAAAAAAAAATTACAAATAAAAATAAAAATAAAAATCGATTGATTGATTGATTGTTTGATTGATTGATTGATTGATTGATTGGTTGATTGATTGATTGATTGATTGATTGATTGGTGGGGGAGGGGTCCTCCCCTCCCCCCGGCACACACACACACACACACACACACACACACACACACACACACAATCAATCAATCAATCAATCAATCAACCAAAGCAATCAAGATCCTGTTCGATAGGATTTTAATTGGTTTTGTTGATTGATTGATTGATCGATTGATTGCTTGATTGTGTGTGTGTGGGTGGGTGGGTGTGTGTGTATAGTAGTGAATATTTCGACGTTCTAGAGGAAGATTCGATAGATTTTGCTCATCCTTTTGATGGAAGTTGCGCGAGGCCAGCTGCGGCCTCGCGCAACTTCCATCGAAAGGATGAGCAAAATCTATTGAATCTTCTCTCTCTCTCTCTCTCTCTCTCTCTCTCTCTCTCTCTCTCGCGCGCGCGCGCGCACGCCAGTTTGCTGAGTGCTTGGTTACCATCTCTCTCTCTCGCGCGCGCGCGTGCGCGTTCCAGTTTGTTGCGCACCGTTTGCATGTCGCCAGTTCTGCGATCTTGGTTACCATATCTCTGAGATCTCAGTGGGCGCATGTCGCCAGTTTGCTGCGCACCGTTTGCATGCATGTAAAGTGTGGAAGAGAGCGAGTCTGATTGCACCTCTCTCTCTCTCTCTCTCTCTCTCTCTCTCTCTCTCTCTCTCTCTCTCTCTCTCTCTCTCTCTAGCGCGTGCGCGCTCAACTGAGTTGCGATCTTCGTCACCATATCTCTGTGTTCTGAGTGGGCGCATGTCGCCAGTTTGCTGC